TATGTTGTTTGGTTGTAGTAGTATGTTGCTTGGTTGTAGTAGTACGTTGTTTGGTTGTAGTAGTATGTTGTATGGTTGTAGTAGTACGTTGATTGGTTGTAGTAGTATGTTGTTCGGTTGTACTAGTACGTTGTTTGGTTGTAGTAGTACGTTGTTTGGTTGTAGTGGTACGTTGATTGGTTGTAGTAGTACATTGTTTGGTTGGAGTAGTACGTTGATTGGTTGTAGTAGTACGTTTTCTGGTTGTAGTAGTACGTTGTTTGGTTGTTGTAGTATATGGAGTGCAGGGAATGCGAATACACATTGTATTTGGAGGAATAAGAATTCCTACAATGCTGTTTGCATGCATCCGTAATTATCACAAACCTATAGTTATTGAGATGGGGAAAGCTCTAAACAATACAGAGTCACACGAGCACAATTGCATAGAGTAGGTTATAGGCCTATACGTAATTACTTGTCCATAAGATATCAGGCATATGTTCTAAGCGAGATGTGCACAAACGCAGGTGATAGTTCAACTTAACTTCTGAATCCAAAGCGCCAATGCGAGAAAGAATTTCAAGTGTACGTAAATAAACATATCTTTCATAGAGTTATACACAAAATAATAAATACCTAGATATCTAGAATGCAAACTTGTTATTTTGAATCTATGAATATGTCTTACGTGTGACTATGTAGATAGCAATAAATATCTACTATGATATATCATTCATGGACTTTAATAGAGGCAGACGCAGACGCAGACACGCATATATATATATATATATATATGATGTATATATAAAACTATATATGTATGTGTATGTATACATACACACACACACACACACACACACACACACACACACATATTTATATATATATTTATATGCATACATACATATATATGCATGTGTGGATTGATATATATCTAAGTGTGTGTTTGTATATATCCACCTATATACATATACAATTACAACAATGTAAAGTGTGCCTATCATAATATAAATACCTGTAAAAATGAAAATATAATCAAACATAGATTTCACATATTTTCAACCACAATAAAAAATATTATAATATATATATACATGTATAATGTACGTCTGTGTATCATTTAATATATTTGTATTGATGAATATACGTAGAGATATATCAAAATGTACGTACGTACGCAAAGATACGTAGACATATGGTGTAGTGTATATGATTTTCTAGTAGTTTATTATTTGCGTGTACCAAACACAAAAAAACATTTATTATATGCCACGTAAAAAAATAATGTTCGTACAAGTGGTAGCCGCATATATATATATATATATAAATTCAAATGATATATACCTGAAAATGCATGGGTATATATATACACACATACCAATAAAAATCATACTAAACATACATATACTACATGCATCAATGCTCACATCCACACAGGCACTATACTATATATATATACATACACATATATATATATGTATATATATATATACATATATATATATATATATGTATATACATACACACACACACACACATACATATATAGTATTTGATTCTGATAAGCATTAATTGTATAGTAGTTTTCTAAGAAATTTTCTATAATATATGATGTGATGCTTATTATGTAATTTATATATATGGATCTCGGCTATTGTACGTGAAATTATTCACGGATTCCTACAGATATAGCATATTACGATTCTGGAGAGCATAAATCGTATAGTCGTTTCCTACAAAATTGTCTATACTATTGAATGTGATGCTAAAACAATATTATACTTAAATATATATATATATATACCCGCGCGTATACGTCATACACACACACGCATATATAATATATATTATGGATGTATTTATGGCTAATCGTTCTAACTTGATAAATTAACCCTTTCATCTGAATCGAATGGACTGTTATGTGTAGTTACCGCCATAATAGCCTGGACAACGATCCTTCTCACGATAAACAGAGTAACCCTACGATAATTCTGTACGTTCATTTACAATCCTATAGTCGTGTTGGGCAACTTATCGTAAGTATTCATAAAGCCTTTTCAAAAGAATTCGTATCAAAGCACTAAGAAAGCATCACCAACTCACCGAGTTGAACTCATCTTCGCCACCTCCCAGTTGTGCAATTTGGGCCTGCTCCTCGTCTAAGAATGCTCGAGTGGCTTCGTCGATCTCCTCACCCTCTTCTGCGCCATCTCCCATACCCTCACCAATAATCTCGAACTCGGCCATTGTGTATATATGGTACTATGTAAATGTGTCTTTAAGGAGGTTGGTATCACGGTAGTGTTATTAGTACCCGTAACCGTATGTGTGTTTACTTTGTGTTCGCCACGGCCCTCTCTGCACTGCCATTGGGTTCTACAAATTTGGATAAAAGCAGTCAGAGTTCGAGTTTTGTTTGTGTGTATTTTCATAGCCTTCTGGAAGGCTGTGATATTTTATTTTGCAATAAAAATAGGCCGAATTAGTTCTAAGCAACGAAGTTTAGTGCGATATAATTAGATTCCTCAGTAACACTGAAAGTTGCATATATAATTAGTTTACAGATAGAAGTTCGGTAGCCTCAGAGAGGCTGTGACTGGTCACTGGAATGAGAGTCTCATCAACCAATCTCAGCCTCAGCCCTCAGGTCCTGGACTCAGTGAGTCAGTGAGTCAGTGAGTTAGTGAGTTAGTGAGTTAGGAGTGAGGACTGACTGAGAGTGAGTCAAGTGGGGACCGGGGACTGGGGTCTGGGGAGTCTTCAGTCTGGGCCTTCTGCTGGGGAACTCGGGGAGTGGGGAGTGGGGAGTGGGGACTGATGAGAGGCCGAAAGAGGAGAGGGGCTGCCGCTGATCCGCTGGCAATGGGCCATTGGTGATTGGGCCTGGCGACTGGCGGGGCAGAGTCAGAGAATTGATGTACCGATGCCCTTGGACCAATCAGATTACAAGATCTGTGAAAAGCATGCGAACGGTGATACGGCCTACATACTTTCACCCCCCCCCATTTGTGTTTATGCTAAAGTCAAAATGTATAGACATATTTTAAGCATGACAAGTTCAGCACTTATATATTGCTGGTCTGCATCGAAGAGTCTTCTTCTGGCACATAGCACCTCTAGTAGTGGTAGTATTCATAAGTAATCGGCTCATCATGACAATCACATCGCTATTCGATACAGTATGTCTAGGCTACTTCGCTTCGCATATTCCCATCACCCTGTTGATGGATTCTCAGGCCATTGTGCCGCCAGTATGGATTCCAGACTTTGCAGTGGAGATGAACAGTTGGTATATCAAGTATGTCGTTTATTTTGCACATACATAATTGAGATAATATAAAGTCTACGCTAGACTTTTAAAAAAAGCTTGTATGTGATTGCTTGTGCGCGTCTATACGATACTATGGTGAACAGAATGAACTGTCTGCGAGCTAAAGTGACTGATAGTGCGATTGTTCACCAGTAGAGGTTTAGTTTCAATGTATAATATCTTTTGTAATTATTCTTATTAGGTTGCTAGTCTATTCGGATGTCCCTGTTTTGTCTTTTTTGCTATACATTTGCATAACAATTCCATTCGAGTCTCAGTGCTACTGTATGAATAATGTATTGTATTGTTTAACACACTCTGGTTCGGGTGATTTATCTATTTCAATTGAGTTGGTGTGATTTTATTGCACAGTAGCTCAGGATTGAGCCTACGTCGTTGTACATGTAACTTGAAATCTTTTAAACCATTAATATACAAGCATGCATTATTTTAATAGTATTTTGCAGAACTGCTACCCCTTTTTGGTATACGCTACCGATGTTATCGTTCAGTGTGGGGACATCGCGTTGGATTTCCATTTCTTTGCCCTTGTGCTTTTGAAAAGCTTCTAGTTGAGCGTATGGCATATGCGAGCCTTCCAGATAGTATGAATGCTAGAAAACTGCCTGAGCACAAACTACACTCTGAATCAATTCTCACATCCAAAGTGCTGTTGTTTTGTGTTATGATAGAAGTGCAGTACCATGAAAAATACAATTGCTGGATTTTAAACTATTCATGTATATGGTAGAAACCGGATTACGAACACTGCGTATACATTCTGGGCAGGACTTCGATGTGTGTGATTGTGTGATGCTATCCTCGATCCTTCTCCTACACAGCCTTTTAAATGTAGTTCGCATACAGACGAGCAACAGCTCGCATAGTAAACTAACAATGTATTATCATGAGACTACAGCTGGTACACTGGGAATGCGTCGTACACTGGGAATGCGTCAGAATTGACTGGAATATTAATACTACATTAGAAACAAATTGGAGTATTCCAACATTGTTATTTGTGAATTCCGTCGTACTAGTCTATGTTGTACTTGCTTATGCCACTTCGCTCTGTATCTACCTATCAGAACATTCAATGATCCCCTAATGGCCTCACCGCCGATTTGGTTTCAGTCGTTCATCGCTTGCGAGCTTATCTTTCAGATCCCCATATTCTTCTTGGCCGTGTATGGCTACTGGAACCGTATGTCACAAACACTTTTCCGGATTCCAAATGTTTATGTATGCCTGGCTTCCACATGCATGTGTGTATTGATAAGTCGGATAAGGTTGGTACTTGTGATCGTGATAGTATATAAGACATAGTTGGCAATTGTGATCGTAGTAGTATGTAAGACATGGATGGTACTTGTGATCGTGATAGTATGTAAGTCATGGTTGGTACTTGTGATGGTGATAGTATGTAAGACATGGTTGGTACTTGTGATGGTGATAGTATGTAAGACATGGTTGGTAATTGAGATCGTTATAGTATGTAAGACATGGTTGGTACTTGTGATCTCGTGATTGTATGTAAGACATGGTTGGTACTTGTGATCGTGATAGTATATAAGTCAGGGTTGGTACTTTTGAGTGATCGTGATAGTATGTAACACATGGTTGGTACTTGTGATCATGTGAGACAGGGTTGATACTTGTTTTCGTGATAGTATGTAGGACATGGTTGGTACTGATGATCGTGATAGTATGTTGGACAGGGTTGGTACTTGTGAGTGATCGTGATAGTATGTACGCAATTGTCTGAAACATTCTCTGGTCGTCGTGCTACCGCACACAGAATCTGTGCCAGCATTTATCCATATAGAAGTTATCGGTATGATCTGAAAGTATTACACTGTTAATCTTTCACAGGATGTAACTGGATTCGGGATCCGCTAATGGTGTACGGAGCACACGTTACCACCACGCTCGTCCCCGTTCTTTATGAACTGTACAGAAATGACCAAGTGGAGGACGGGCAGAAACTAGTACTGGTATATTTAGATTGTAAAACTTTACTGGGGCGAAGCACTTGCACGAAAACCTGGCTTTAACTTACAGTGTCATACGTTACTAGTCTCTTTATTTGAAATTGTACTCGCACAGGAGTGCTCAAATAACATACAAAATATGCAGTTTTGCTATCTGCAATTTACCTTAGCGATTCGGAGTTCTCTATTGCTATATCCTTAGAGACCTTGAAATACTTTCATCCATATCCAATGACATTGTCCAACTTTTTTTTTTGATTTTGAGCATCTATACTTCAAAGCGATTTCATATCGTCCTTGTGTCTCCTTTCAATGATATCTAAACAATGCATTTAAAAAAGAACAAGGGTAGTTTTTAATTCGTATTTATGTCCGACTACTTAATGCACAGGTCAACATGACTTGGTTTCTACCCTACTCTGGCTCATATATATATCTTTTTACTGTCGTTCTTTCTTCACAGGCGGCGTTCTACATACCGTACCTGATAATACCTTTCCTGATCACATTGAGGATGTTCATGTGCACGGTCCCATTCCCACCCGTGGATATCAAGAAGTCACAATAACTATGATCAGACGAAACAAACCCCTTTCTGACCGAAGCACGGGTGAGCACAATTCGGAACTGCAATACAGATATTTGACAGTGACACGCACCTGAACGGATATCAAGCACCGCACAAGCTCAGAGGGTACCTCAGCCTATAAGACACGGGCTGACGAGATGACAACTTCAGCTGTGATTGCAGATTAACAAATATATTTAGACGAGCTCAGCTGCACGCAAGTGTTTTGCCGAACGTCGTAATTCACGCACATTAGTCATGTGCAGGCTCGGAGCGATGGGTATCTATGAAGGCAAGAAAGGGTCTTGACTAATAAACAGTTCGTAGGTAGAGATTTAACAGTAACCCGTCACTAGCATGCCCCGTACAGAGTCCTCTCTCTCTAGTACATCATACGACAGGAATATAGTGATACTGCCTCTTTCAATTAAAATAAGGATAAATGAAGCAAAAAGCAAGGGAATTTCCATCTTGTTTTTCAGGAGACAATGGATTTATTTAATGTGTATTCTCTCGTGACGTAAAGTTTAGCTTATTTTTGGGCCGATGTAATTCAAATATGTAGACAGATAGTACGTGCCAATGATAGTGGTACTTCAAATTCTTTAATCAAGACCAGATGCATGAACGGTCGAGTCGCTACTCGCTCCTACTGAATTGCTGCTATATGTAAAAACCACAATGTAGTTGTCTTGTCATCACAGATGTTAATGGATTTAAAAGAGTGCTCGCCTGAGATATTAGCCGAGTTCTCGTCAGTACTATCAATTGCATTTGGGGTCAGCGGGCGACATTTTTTTCTTTTAGAACTCTGGCTGAGAGTCTTTCCCTATATAATTGAATAACTTCTAGAGGTTCCGAGGTCAAGTACGGGCACGTAAGCAACAAGTACAGAGACGTCATCATTATTGGGACGGCCAGAAGTCAAAGAATGATCCTTAAGATTTTGAGCCAGCTTGGTAGGCACATCTTTAGGTTGAGTTCCTTTGCACTTGCGAACACTATTGAGAGCTGAGAAAGCCTGATGTTTCGATGTGAAATCCCATAGACCATCCGTACCCAATATTAAGAACACATCGGTGCCGGGTGTTAATTGAAACTGTCTCACCTCGGGTTCCGCTATGACGCCCAACACCATGTTTTTGACAAACCCATCACCTAATGCACGCGTGGGTAAAAGTGACCCACCGACGCGATTGTTCTCTATTCTTCCACCAGCGGCTAGGACACGTTCCACCTCTTTAGGATTACTCGTGTTGTGAGGCGCCGTAAGCGCTTCACAAGTTGACGGAGTTAAGGCCACAGATTTACTGGTAGACTTCATTATACTGCCCTTCGAAATACGCCTGGCTGCTTTCAACATTCCTTTCAAAGATGAGGTTGAAGACGACTTTGAGAGCCCCTTGGGACTTTCACTTTGCAGTTGACTTTTCGATTCGTGACTAGATGAGAGCAAACCAAATTTGCTTGGACTCAAACGTCTAACCGACCTGTTTGTTTTGGTGCTCGGTACTTCTGGTTGTAGTGTCAGTTCGTCCTCAGATGTCACAGACGACGGCTTGGGACCTAAATCTTTTGAGCCAGAGTCTGATGCGCTCTGCTGCGGAAACGCCACAAGGAAAGCTTCACAGTCACCCGTGTTGGACGAATACACTACGTTGTCAGCCACAACTACTATGAGAGCGCAAGTACCTGCTTCGGCCAGAGGGTTGGCCGTATTATATTCCTTGTCAACCATAAAAAAAGCATCGTGAAGTATCCTAGCGAATACTGAGTGTGTCAGCTCCATTTGACGCTCCTCGGCATACTTCAACTGTTTTTCTATCGATTCCACTGTTTTGTTTGAAGCGAACTCAGAAGCGTGATCACCTCCATGTCCGTCAAAGACGCCAAGTATCGAGACGTTCATACCACTATTTAATACCAAATGCTTCGCAACCACCCTGTCTTCATTTTGAATATGGGTTGTACCTTGATGTGTAATCCATCCTGTAGACACATCCCGGGCCTCTGACTGACCTATTGTATCATGGTCCGTGTTCATACTCGCGTACAATTCATCTTCATGTACCTCCGCTTCCGTATCCGAATGATCAGTTGGTATATCATCAGATTCTAGGTCATTTCCAACTTGCACGCCTTGCCTGAGAGTTGGCATGGGTTTGTGGCCTTTGCTGTATGTAATAGTATCATCTCTTTTAGAGAATTGAACACCTCCGACAAAATTATCAACTGTTGTGCTTATAACACGCTCCTGAGCAACCAAAACTGCCATGGTTACACTCAGTTGTATCTTGAATGTATCGGCTACACTATGATTATTGTGTTCTATTTCAAATGTCACGCCTTATCTTACGCATATATGAGAAGCAGTTTGTAGTACACTGTAAATAGCCGTAGTGTTTCTATACTGAAGTGTATTCTCCACAGTTGCACTATACACTATTATTATGTAATTTAAAACCTTTCTGGGAAGAAAATTGTTCTGAAGTCATTAAATAAATTATAAA